AGTCCTGACCCCTGCGCTATATACTCTATATTGTACATGACACAGTCCTGACGCTTGCGCTATGTACTCTATATAGTCCTGACCCCTGCGCTATATACTCTATATAGTCCTGACCCCTGCGCTATATACTCTACATTGTACATGACACAGTCCTGACGCTTGCGCTATGTACTCTATATAGTCCTGACCCCTGCGCTATATACTCTATATAGTCCTGACCCCTGCGCTATATACTCTATATTGTACATGACACAGTCCTGACCCCTGCGCTATATACTCTATATAGTCCTGACCCCTGCGCTATATACTCTGTATTGTACACGGCATAGTCCTGACCCCTGCTACATATAAACCTGATCTGCATTTCCTTTGATTACACCCCTTCCCCCGGGATATATTATATCGGCTTTTGTGATTGGAGCTCAGACTATCACATGTCCTATAATATTACGGTGACACCCTCAGACAGTTAACTTTATATCTTGCACCTAGGCCATAATGAGTGTGGGGGAAGCCCCTCTGCAAGGGTTAAGAAAAATGTCCCCCCGTAGCAGCGGCTGGCGGCTACCCATGCCCCTCGACGAAGGCCAGAAAAGATTCGGCTCCCGCTGACTTCAGTAGGGTTCTGGCGGTTGCGTATTTCAGGCTGTGTTTGCAAATCCTCCCGTGAACCTGACGAGTTAAGATCCATCCCGGGGGCAAATTTTCCTGGACAATCCACAGAGAAAGCTCGTGTGATGTCATCAGAATGCGACTGCCTTACTTTTCTTGCTTCCCTGCAGATGGACGCTATGCCTGGAATTCCTCTGATGGACGTCTCTTGTTATCTCACGGTTATAAAGCAGAAAACGATGGAACGGCCCAATGTTCTCCAGGGGTGAATCTCATTACTCATGATACACCTCACAGACCTTCCCATTCAGAGACATCAATGGATCCCTCGAAACCGGGGGGATCTTCTGACCAATCGCATCACATGACTTCAGACCTCCATCTGACATCTCAGGGTGCGGAAAACTCAACAGGTCCATCGAATCCCAGTGAACGTTCTGTAAGCCACGAGAAGAGTCCGTACTCGTGTTCGGTGTGTGCATTCTCCTTCACTGAAATCGAAGACCTTATTAAGCACAATAAGAGTCACAAAAGTGAGCGTCCCCATGTATGCTCCGAGTGCGGAAAAGGTTTCGACCAGAGAGCAGAACTTCTTCAACACCAGAGAATTCACACGGGTGAGCGTCCTTATTCATGTTCAGAGTGCGGGAAATCTTTCTATTTACAAAAGTTACTTCTCAGGCACCAGAAAAATCATACGGGAGAGCGGCCGTTTTCCTGTTCAGAGTGCGGAAAAAGTTTCATTATGAAAAACGCATTCGTCAGACACCAGAAGATTCACACGGGAGAGCGTCCTTTCTCGTGTTCATACTGCGGGAAAACTTTTATTCGAAAAGGAGACCTTATTAGCCACGAGAGAATTCACACAGGCGAGTGTCCCTATTCGTGTTCAGAGTGCGGGAAATCTTTCACTCAGAAAGGGAAACTTATCGCACACCAGAGAAGACACACGGGTGAGCGTCCTTTTTCCTGTTCAGAGTGTGGGAAACGTTTCATTGAGAAATCAGATCTTCTTAGACACCATAGAATACACACTGGCGAACGCCCTTTCTTATGTTCAGATTGCGGGAAATGCTTTGCCGCAAAAGCCACACTTCTTGCACACCAGAGACTTCACACAGGCGAGTGACCTTTCTTATGTTCGGACTGTGGGGAAAGTTTCCGTCACAAGAAGGCAATGATTACGCACCAGAAAAGTCACACGCCAGAGGGTCCTTTATGATGATCTGAGTGTGGGAAATGTTTCACCGAGGAAAGAAGATCTTATTACACATCAGAGGAGTCATACTAATGAGGATTTTGTGTTCTCCTAGTGAGAAAATCCCTAATATATATATATATATATATACACACACCTGCTGATGCATTTCATAATGGTAACTTTTAAATGATATATGTGGGAAAAATAAAAACTATATCATCAATAAACAATTATTTCTCTGTGTTTTGTCTTTGTCAACACTATCTGCTGATCTACCAGAAATCCAGTCAGCTTCCAACTTCCCCAAGTTACCTTACAAGGCTGCTTCTGCTGCACTTAAATCCCATACAGTGTAAGGCCTGCCCAGTTCTTTCCCGATTGGGCTACAGAATGTGTGCTTTCTGTATAATGGAGATAAACGAGATGGGAGGAGTTATATGTTTCAATTCAAAAGTGAGCAGTGACCATGCTGTTCCTCCAAAGATACATGATGATCAATGATAGTTACAGGATAGGTCTCCAGGGTTTCAATTATAGTAATCTAGTGCTCTAAATAAACAGCGCTGACTTGAGCCCACGTTCACACAGTCGGAACTAAATAACCGAACTGTCAGAGAGAATGTAGTGTGGATGGTGGGGGAGAGCTGTCAGAGA